TTAAAAAAACTCCAGGCACAGTCAAAATTATAAAAACATTGAGGTGTATTATATAATAGATACAAGTTTTAAACAAAAACCTAAGTAGCTGTTAAATATCGGCACAGTATGCCTACTGTTCTTGTTTTTTGTAGCCTGATGATGTGATTTCTGAGGTCTTCAACTGCTTCTAGTACTGTATGAAATTTCTTAATATTATTCCCAAAGCCGCAATGACGACGGGGACCACTGAAGTGTGTTTCTTCCAGAGGCAAGATGTTTCGATGGCCAGGTCTCTGTACTTTGTTAGTTTTTCCAATTCTTTATTTTCAGCTCTGGCGTCCCCTGGAATTGCAATGTGATTGATTTAGACATTTCTTTGTTCTATTACTGCTGTGTCTGGTGTGTTACATTCAAGATGTCTAATCCATTTGGATCTGGGAATCCTAGAAGATCTTGACTTCCCCATTTTATGACACCTTCTCTATCTGATGTTCCCATGGGTTTTTGGAGGCTGGCAAGTTTGTTTGTTTTTTTTGCATAATGACTAGTGCACTAATTTTGCCACTCTATTATGTCTAATTTTGTAATCTGTTTGTACAATCTTGTGACACAGTTCCATCTTTTTCTTGGCAGAGTAGACATTTGCTGTTAGCACTAATTCCTTGGATCTTAACTTTCATTGGTTTGGAGTGCTTGTTCTTGTGCAGCAAAAATCAAGCCTTCAGTTTCTTTCTCAAGGGTCCCCAGTTTTAGCCATGCCCATGTTGAATTATGATCATGCTTTCCATTGTTGTTGTTATTTAAAAAACTCCAAGCACAGTCAAAATTATAAAAACGTGGACTGGTATTATATAACAGATACAAGTTTTAACAAAAAACCTAAGTATCAGTTAAATATCGATGCAGTATGTATGCCATATTTTGTAGCTCTGGTGTTGTGATTTCTGAGATCTGCAACTGCTTATAGTACTGTGTGAAATTTCTTGATATTGTTTCCACCAATAACTATGGTGACCACTTGTTGTTGTTGTTACTACTACTACTAATCTGTGTATGAATATAAAATATGCTACAGTCCCAGCATTCTTTTTCCATATTTAGATAGTATATATTTCTGTGACAGCCAGATGTAATCTCAGAAGAGGCATTTTTTCCAGTCGGGAAAAAGGGAGGCCTCTTATAACATGAATAGTTTTTACCTTGAATTTCAAAGTAAAAACTACTTATGCTTGTATTAATATTAAGAACTTCTTTTTTAAAAAGTCATGGTGTGAAGTACATAGAAGTTGTTTATTGGTACCTCTTCGTAATTGCACAGGACATGTAATCTAATCAGTCAAAAATGGTCCAGATGATCTCAATTGGCCCCTCTCCCAGAAGACGTTATGGGGATTCAAACTCCTGGCCTCTGACTCGGCAGCCAGATGCTCTAATCCTCTGAGCTATTAACCAAAAAATCACAGCTCTGTGTGTTATACCATACTTCTGAAAAATCATACAGGGAAGTCCTTTGGGCATATAAAAATTCACTTCTGTGTTGTGTGAAAAAGTTTTTTTTGTGCTGTGGTAGTCAGATGGGACACGGCGACAACAACTAAACAACAAAGTCAGATGGGTTGTATACAAATCAAATAAAATCAGCTAACTAACTAGCTAGCTAACTAACTAACTAAATAAAATTATGTTGATTTACTGTGATATCAGTGCTTTTAATTTGGAAGCTAATTAACGCCTATCTAATTTCCTTACCACTTAAAGCAGGGGACTCCAAACTATGGCCCACATCCACATTGCCTTTTTATCCAGTCCAGCCATAGAAAGAGGAGGGAAGGGGGACCCAAGCAATCCCGCACCCCTGCTGTCCTTGCAAAGGCAGCGGGGTGGGGGATCACTTCTGTCAGGCTCCTCTTCTTATCTCCCCCTGGCATGAGCAGGGGAGGGAAAGGGGACCCAAGTGAATCCCAGGAAGAGGAGCAAAGCCAGACAACGGGGGTTGGGGGGTTGGGATGGCTTAGGTCCCTCTTCCCTCCTTCGGCCCTCGAAAATGTGTAAAATACATGATGTGGCCCTCATACTGAAATGTTTGGAGACTCTTGACTTAAGGCATATGTTGTTTTTCTGAGTTTGACATTACTTCTCATTTTGACAAGTTACCTTCATTGGTCCTGGATAATAAAGTTTAAATTTTGCTGGATGCCTTTTTTTTCGGCCTGTACTTCCCAACAGGGTTAAGATAGGTTAAAATCTGAGAGTATCTCCTAATCTATTTGTTAGTCATGTTCAGTATCCACCTCCATTATGTTTGCGATAATCCACTTCAGCAGTGGTCCCCAACCTTGGGCATCCAGATGTTCTTGGACTTCAACCCAGAAATCCTGGCCAGCAGAGGTGGTGGTGAGGGCTTCTGGGAGTTGTAGTCCAAGAACATCTGGAGGCCCAAGGTTGGGGACCACTGCACTACAGTATCCAGATTATGAAACCATAGCAATTTTTGTTTAGTTATGCAAAATATTATTTAAAAAATAATAATACTGTATTTGCAAGAGGGCTGTTCATTAACATTTCCTTCTTTCTACATCTGGTTGTTTTTCTACCAGTATTATGGGTTTATCAATGACTACAGTATCCAGATTATCAAACCATAGCAATTTTTGTTTAGTTATGCAAAACATTATTTTTAAAAAATAATACAGTATTTGCAAGAGGGCTGTTCATTAATATTTCCTTCTTTCTACATCTGGTTTTTTTTCTACCAGTATTATGGGTTTATCAATTTCGGTGCTTACAGAGATTTATTCTGTTTGTTTTAGTGAATTTCCAGCATGTGCTGTCACATAACAGATGTGTGATACAGCAGTGGTCCCCAATCTTGGGCCTCCAGATGTTCTTGAACTACAGCTCCCAGAAGCCTTCACCACCAGCTCTGCTGGCCAGGATTTCTGGGAGTTGAAGTCTAAAAACATCTGGAGGCCCAAGGTTGGGGACCACTGTGATACAGTATACACAAATATGTGTTGTGGCTGGA